TAAAGTGATTTCACTTAATAATTTTTAAATGCTTCTCTTTACTTTAAAAAAAAAAAAATTAGTAATTTTGAATAATTCTTCTTTTTAGGATAAAAAATTTCTGATAAGTATTTTTTTCACCTTTTTTCAAATAAATTTTATTTAAATATTACAAATTCAAATATTTGAAATTAACGGATGAAAAATTTTAACATTAAATTTCCTGAAAGTACACGTATATAACAGATGGATCAATTATCCTACTATAATTATGATAATTAACAATAATAATAATTATTATTAATAGTGATATAGCAATAATCATAATGATAATGAACCAATGGAATATGCAAATTTTCCTCCTTCATCTTTTTATCTTTCTAAGTATTATCATCCAAATAGTAATTAGACTGTTGTTAACAACAATTTAATACTGCCTAGTATTTTTAAAGGTAAAATTAAAACTTTTTCAAATTTTGTAAAATTGAATTTTTTTGGAGAGACACAGGATTTGTTAGAGGAAAACAAAAACAAAAACAAATCAAAAAAGCAAACAAACAAACAAACAAACAAACAAACAAACAAAAAACAACAAAAAAAGAGGAAGCATTAAATATTTTCCATTTGCCGTAATTTTATCAAACATTTTTTTTCCTTTTTCCGTATTTCGAAATTTTCCATAATTTAAATGTCAATTAATTATAAAATAAACATTTATCCTTGCTTAAACAATTAAATTATTCCAATCATTAATGTTACTATCACCATATTTTTGTACATCGAATAAATGAATTTCTTAAATTTCAAATTTTTATATTTCTAAATTATACGATTATGACAAAGTCAAAATTCAATTTTTACAATTATTTTGCAAATTTCAATTTCATGAATTATTTATAAATAAAAGTGACCAATTATGAAACATATAATGCTAAAAATCAAGAATGGATACTTTTTTGATATTAAATATTACAATTATCATTTGACATATTAGTTTGTTAATTAATTAGATTAGGCTATCACCGAATGGAATATTTTAGCAAAAATTGGAATTTTGATTGGAAATAAATGAAATAAAAGAAAATAACATTTAATATTAATGAATGAGATTTGAATAGTAGTAAAAAAAAAAAAAAAGTTGATAATCAAATGGTAAACATAGGAAATACTTATCAGCAGATAGGATTAAGAGATATGTAAATTAATTGATAAGTAAATGGGTTAGTAAGTATATAAAAGAAATGAAAATGTAAGCTGTTTAGAAATGAATAAATATAAAAATTGCTAATTCTATCATTTCCAAATTTGGCTTTTAAAAGTTTCCTTTTTTCTTTCTTTCATTGTAAAAGAAGACGAACCGAGAGATAAATAAATAAAAAAAAGGAGGAAAAATGGAGCTTATCAATAATAAACTTATCAATAATAGCACAATTGATAATCTATTAATGAAAATGAAGGTTATGGAAGTAAAAAAGACAGGCTTATTTTTTTTTCTGCTAGGCTTATTTTTTTTTCTGCTAGGCTTATTTTTATATCATTGGATAATATAAGACAAAAATAAACAAATGGATGAATAAATAAGCAAACTTGAAGAAATAATGATAAATAAGATATGACAGATAAATGATAGGGGGAGATAAGATAAAAAGCATAAATGAACAGGAAGGAAATTAGCGTCCAGACGAAAAATAATGGGATTAGCAATAAAAAAAAAAAAGAAGAAAGAAAAAGTAAGTAAAAGAAGGGATAAAATAAATTGTAAAATAAAGTATGCAAATAATTCAAATGAGAATTTAAAAGAGAAATTAAACAAAAGGAATGAATTTATAATTGAAAAAATTGAAATATGTTAAATAACAAAGTTAATGAGTAAAATTAGTAACAAAGTTAATGAGCAAAATTAGCAACAATAAGTTAATGAGTAAAATTAGTAGCAACAAGTTAATGAGTAAAATTAGCAACAATAAGTTAATGAGCAAAATTAGTAACAGCAAGTTAATGAGTAAAATTAGCGACAATAAGTTAATG